AGTGTCCCAGATGGAAACACATAGGAGTTGTGGACAAGGAAGGAAATGCATGGACAATCTCATCCATCACTTTGAGAACCTCCGCTTCGTTCAAAGCAAAGTCCAGGGCGTCAGTGGTGACAATGTCGAAATCAGCTTCTCCAAACATCAGTGGGTGGCCTCCATCGTTCTTGTCCCGGAAAACGTTGCCAAAGGTAAAAGATCGCTCCACAACTGGATCAAAATACGCCATTGTCCTTGCATTGCCCAGTGTGAGATCATAGGGCAGTTGCACCACTTTGCCTCTTGGGGTCAAAAGTTGGACAGCATTGTCTCCATAATGCGATGTCCGTGGATATATGCTGCTTCGAGGCGGTTCTAGAGCGCCATGGCTACGGAAGATCGAAACAAGCTTTTGCTTAACCAGTATTTGATTGAGAAGCTCCTGTGGACTCAATGACCTCGCAGACATATCCCAAGCGTAATCCTCAATAGGGTCCATGCGCTTCGAAAATAGCCACGAAAGTGTCTTGTGGTAGTATGGCGAGCTTGGGTTTGCCAGTATAGCAAGAGTCTGTCTACCTCTGACGCTCTCTATCTGAATAGGTAGCTCTTCATTGTTGAGAAGGTCAGTACTTGAGGGCCGTTCCTTGGGGTTGTGGTTGACCAGGGACAATACGATTTCTGTCTGAGCTTTGTCTGTAGGCTTAAAGTCCGATGGTAACACTGGTTTCGGCCGCCTAAGCTGACCAAGGACATCGGCCTTTTGCATACCTATCATAGGTAGATAACACATCTCGAAGAAAATGATGCCTAGGGAATACATCTGATTTCGTTAGCTTAAGACGGCAACGTCCGGATTTAATCCACCAGTCCACTTACATCGACCTTCGTGCTATATATGCCGTTGACCGTGGATCTGACTTCAGGTGCGGAGTAATATGCAGTGCCGATGCTTCTCGTCATATCGTCTGTCTCCAGAGTGTTTCCGTTTGCCTTTTCCAGTGAGAATTGTCCGCTGGTGGCGAGTCCAAAATCGCCAATCTTCACATTGTCACTGCCATCAGAGTCGCTGGTAATGAAGATATTTTCCGGCTTCAAATCACGGTGAACAATGCTAAGCCCATGGATGTGAGCCAAACCTTCTAGAATCTGAGAAAACAGTCGCCAAATTTCGGGAGTATTCTTGTAGAGATTCCTTGCGATCAGATCTCGAAGGGTCTGGCAATCGTGAGAAACTATGCATAGGAGATGTTACCAGACTGTGTTACTTACTCGTTTCTCACAATACTCCATCGATATGTACAGCATGGTTCTGTATGAACGCTGATATCGAGCTCGTCGCTGGAACATGGCGTTTCTTTCTTTATCTGGCGAAGAAACTCTGTGAATGGACATCTCATCTTCTGTATCATCATCATCCTCCTCTGAATCGTCTTCATCAGAGTCTTCTTCAGAGTCTTCAGAGTCTTCAAATCCATAGTCGACGTTGGCATTGGATGAGATGAAATCAAGCCCTCCTGTACTAGCAGCAAATTCAATTTCAATCCCAGCAGATCCAGTTCCTTGAGTGTTCTCTTCGGTAAAGTATCCAGTTGATGTATCGTCCTCAGTTTCGGCTTGATCAGGAGCTTCTTCAACCCATGCGGTATTGTACCGGACAACCGCAGGATGGTTAAGCTGAGACAAAAGCCTTACTTCCTTTAGAATCTCTGTCAGATTAGCTTGGGAACGTGGTTTTATTTTCTTGATGGCGTAAATCTGGCCGTCCAGCTTCATCCTCGCCTTTACCACCTCGCCGAAACCGCCCTTTCCTAGCCTGGCTTCCTCGATGAAGTCTTCTGCGTACCGCGATAGCGCGGGACCCCGATGAGTAGTAAACTCATGTCGAGGCCTTGCCGGCAGGTTTTGTGTGGATAGCGAAGAGCTTGTTGACGGAACTGCAGGAGAATCTTGGAATAGAACCGGAGCATCAGTGGCTAAAAACTCGCTGGATCCAAGCTCAAAAGCTCGAGGCCGTTTTTGCTTATCTTCCTTGAAGAACCTGTTGACTAACTCATGCAGCGAATGGGACAACGTGACCGATTCCATAAGATTCTTGGGCGATGAGTATGTTCGCAGCACCTCAAGGCCAAAGATCATTTGAATGAACACAACGCCAAAATCCCAAATATCAGTCTTGAATGTATACGAGGGCTTAGATGCACCAGCAATCTCAGGGGGCAACCAGTAGGCAGACTTGGCAGTGTTCAATCCTGGAAGACTGGGTTTGTTTGAAGTGATAGTGTGAATTTCTCTCTGGTACCAGGCATCAGAGATCTTGGGGACGATTTGCCCATTCGGCTCTCGGAATAGGAGAATATTCCCTGGGTGAATATCTTGATGTGCAATATTCTTGTTGTGAAGGAAATTGAGCGCATCAAGCAGATCCCGCGTCCAGGAACGCACTCTGCCAATATCCGCAACCCGTGTCGCAAGCTCCAAGAACTCCTCTAGGGAATGCTTTTCTGCCAAGGGAGACAAGACGTTCACAGTGCATATGTTCGAGACAGCAGGATCAGTAGAAAGCCCGGACTGGACCTTAAAGCCCAAAACCTCAACGAGATGACGATGATGAACTCGCTTGACAGACTTGAGATCCTGAAGACGAGAGTCGAGACTTTGTAGTTGAAGCTTGAACTCTTTCGTGTCCTTATTTGTATTACGGATAACAGTCTGCTTCAGTGCCAAAGGCAGGGTGCCTTGCCCATTGACCAGCACAGGCCGGACTTCGTAAACGGTGGATATAGGTCCCTGCCTAAGGTAGCGTTTGCCTGTAATAGCCTTGAAGACGAGGGTATTTCCCGACTGATCTGTAGCGCTACATAATTGCTCGAACTCGATGGTTTCTTCTGTCTCTGAGCTTGTTGAAGATTGCTGGGGCGTATTGCCGCCGTTGCGACGCTTTGACTCCTTGGCTTTCTGTTTCTGTCGTTCGACCTGCTGCTGGAGCATCTCAGCCATAATACGATCTTCTTCTTGCGTCGCTTCTTTTTTCTTTCGATCTTCTTCCCGTTTCTTCTCTTCTGCTAACCTCGCCATGGAAGCTTCGTGCCGCTCTCGTTCTTCCTCGAGAGAGGGTAGATGTTTGCCGTTTGCCTTCGCTTGCGCAGCATCCTCGAGGATATCCCGTACTCCTTCGACGATTTGATCGATCATTTCTTGCGCATCCTGTGCGAATAGCTTTGGCTTTGTTTCTAGGTACTTCTGGATCTTGAATGTCGTGACGTCCTTGAGGTCGTAGTTCTTCAACGTGATAAGAGGAGGTGACTTTGGGTATGTTGCAGTCATGACAAACCCCAGCGTACAAGCAAAGTCTTCATCCGATGAAGCTTTGATCCGGATATCAAAATGCGGTTCTGACTTCTATATATAGGTCGTGAGCTTCAAAGTTGGCCAAGATGATGGGTCTCCATAAGGTAATAAGGGTTCTTCAAAGGTTACCTTCCAGGCGTTCTGAGTTTCGGCATGCATGACGAAGTCGTCGCTGTAGATAGCCTCAAGGGCCAGTAGCTCGTTCTGTTGTAGCTCTCCATATTCGATTTTGTTGTTGACCTCCGGGCTCGCAGCAGCAGGTCGCAAGCCCGGGAAACTTGACTCATTTTTGTTGTTATTCTTGAGGCCCGAGGGTGTGTTCCAAACCCCAGATTGCTTCCCCGCCATGTCTGTACAAAGAGGAAGTCACAGCAAGAGCTGCGACTTCTACAGAGAAGAGGCCATATCGGCGATACTGAAATGATAAATGATGTTGTACTAAGGATTTTATAAGGGCATCCAAGGTATGGATGAAAGATAAGTAGGAGAGAAAGACAAAAACCCCCTTCTGACGTTGGCACAGCGGGGTAGTTAGTTAGTAGGTACCTGGGCAGGGGCCACTCTTTTCCTCACACCCCCCTAGAAACCATCTCAACTTCGAGATTCAAGGTTCTGATCATCTTATCCAAATATCATCACAAGCTTAGACCTACTACTCTAAGCTTTGGGTCTATGATTAGGCAGCATTTAGATGAAATGGTTATCCGGAAAAAAAGGAATTCTACTTATTCCATATCCCCTGAGCCCCCTCGTCTCAAGGTTCTTTAATACCCATGTTTCCATCTTAAGTTCTCGATACATGGCATCCATGGCTGCCAACTCAATTCCATTCACAAAGGCGGTGTCGTTTCATCGAATTACAGGCGGCCACAGGGCTGATGAGGGGTCCGCTGCGGCTCTTGCGCTGACGACCATCAGCTTAATTGCTTGAGTGCTCCATTGGAGCTACCGCCTGGGCCACCCGGCGTCCCTACACGGGAGAGAAAACTTAGGACCTTGGGCCTAAATGATAAAAAGACATAGGTAAACTAATCCAAGTTTAGGACATCTTTACTGTATTGAGGATCTTTTGTTAATTTTATCTTGACATCTTATCTTAAGGTCTGATATTTTCTTGTTCCCTGGGGCTACATTACTGGTCGTGCAATGGACTGGTTAGGTAGATGTAACTTCAACCTTGGATTATCTGGAAGGAAATCGGGAACAGAGGGCTCTTCATATGAAGACAACTTACTCCCAGATTCAAGTCTAAGCATCATCTCAGCTATGCTCCATATGTTCATGGTAGTTAATTTGGTTCTACGTTGTGATAGCTTGCTTGTACATACATACAAACAGATATCTTGCGTTAGCTGGATGGCCCCCTCTATTTTGGCTTAGCGCGATTCTCATTGGGTAGAAGCCGGTGGTGGGACAGGGGTGCCAGGGTTTGGCGTCTTTGATCTGCGACAGGTGAATGTAAACATTGAAAGCGAAAGTCAACATTGACATCAACCAATTTCATCCAATCCTATCCTGCCACAATTAGTCGATCAACAACACAACAAGACCGACGAGGAGAATAAATGTTACTACTTCAACCTTTGTGATCGCTTATGCGAAGGATTTCCCTCCTTTAATCGGGCGCCTGACATTCGCATTCACGCTTACGCGCAACGTGCCGCAAGATGTTGGGTTGGATGCTGAGACGCGGCGAGAACGCGCCAGAACCGGTCAATGATGGAGGTATGTATGCACGCAGACGCGATAGCAGGTGAAATAATTGACCTTGTTTACTAGACACCACTCAGATTGACCAACCCGACACCCCGGCGCCTGTTTTCGCTGCTAGAGCATTCAAGAGTGCATTGTTCGGAACTCCAGCGCGTCCTACCAACCGAAATACAAGAGCAGTAGCAAAAGACAGAAATGACAAGACAGCTCAAATGTCTCGGACCCCGCCTCGACCCCAAGGGATTCTTTTGACCCCGGGTACCGGAACTACGAGACGAAAGCGCGTCTCTTTTGGACAAGACGTCAAGAAGAATAACAATCTCTGCAAGGAGCCAGAAACGCGCCAACGCACACGGCTAAATGACGCTTTGGAAAAGGCTTCTAAATCGGTAAATCAGAACAACACATCACAGCAAGATCAGGATGACTCTTCAGATGAGTGGGAGGAAGCTGATGACGAGGACTACTGCACACACGACATTACGGTTGATCTTAACGAGCCTCACTCGCAGTCGGGCAGATATTGGAAGGAGGAATTTGAGAAATACCACGAAGACGCAAAGGCCGAAATGGAGAAGCTCCTCAAGTATAAGCAACTGGCGAAATCGTATGCCAAACAAAAGGATGCTGAGGCAATTGAGCTCGCAGTTAAGCTCAAGGAAGAACAGCAAAAAGTGATTGAGATGGAAAGGCAGATTGCCGAAGGTGCTTCCAAGATTGCATCGAAGCGAGTAGACAAATCAGACGAAGTCAGTTCCGAGCTTTTATCGACACTCACGAAGCAGACAGCCCTGGCTGTGCAGTATCGAACACGCGTCCAGGAGCTTGAGGACCAACTTGAGGAGTTCCTTCGAGAGCGGGAAGACGATGCCGATGCCGATGCCGATCCCAAAGACCGCAAGCGACGACAAGCGACATCACCCAGGACGCAGAAAACCCTTATCGAGACACAGCGTGAACTCAGGCGAGCCCGAATGCAGGTCAAGGAAGTTGGCGAACTTCGTGAGCAGATATCTTCTCTAAAAAGCCAGCTCAGAACGGCGGAGAAGCGTGCTACCAAGGCCGAGGCCATGAACGAGACGAAGACTACACAAGGAAAACCCGAAAACGAATCGGTGCGCGAAGGTTCACGAGCGCAAGAGCTGCGCGCTCAGCTTCGTGAAGCAAGAGAAGAAAATAAGAAGAAGGATGAGGAGCTACGACAACTAAAACAAGAATTCGAAGCCTATCGTAACGAAACCCAGGCCCACAATGCGGACACCAATGGAGTTTTAGAACGAGCACACACTAAGATTGCGGAACTCAAAAAGGAAATAAGGATCCTCAAGGCTGGGGACAATGATGCTCCTGAGCAGAACGACAACGCAACTCGGCCTAAGAGCTGGCATGTTCAGACAGACGCGGGGCGTCTGGCAGACGAACCCTCAAAGCCCAGAAACATCGGTGTGGATGACAGTACTAAGAATCGAAGGCACAATATGGAACGACGAAGCTTTGACTTGACGGAGCTTGGAAATGACACCATGGAGCTTAAGGCGACAGACCCAAACGTGCCCTCATTACGCCAAAAGTTTCACCAAGACGCTGTGCCAAAGGTTACCAGATTGGATATCGGCACGTCAAAGCCAGTATCGTCAAGTCTTGGTGATAAGCCAGACATTGGCCGGCCTAGATGGCAGCCATTTGTCCCGCGATCACCAAGAAATAGAGCATATCTTGGCGAAGAAATCACCAAGCGGATTGAGAATGGGGGTGCGACTCCCGGCCGACCTGGCCTGGAAGACATCGCCGCGCCTGACCTGCCCGCGCTGGCCAAGTCAATCGCTCGCTCGAAACGCATTGCATCTGCCGAGAAACCTGTAGAAAGAATCGACTTACTACACGACCACTATGCGCGTGTAGGGGGCCCAGATCCCAACAACAACGCAGTGATGGCCAACGCGCCAAAGAGCGTGCTGCCGCCTGAGCGTAGAGCTGCTGCGATTGCGAGAATTGAACAAAGAATGGCAGAGAAGAAACGAGCGCGTGGAAGGAAGGCATATGATAAGGAGAATGTCCGACCTTGAGAATGATAATGTACATACGATGGATACCTTGGGTGTGATATGAGTAAGTGAGGTGGAATACCCTGACTATTGACAATTGTTTGTCTTCCAGTCAAAAAACCCGAATTGGATTGGCATTCGCATGGAGTTTAGGAGGTTTTCCTAGAAGAAATTCTTATTGTTGGATTTACATGATGATAGTTGTCATGGTTTGATAAGTAGTAGTTTTTTTAAACCTCGATGGTCTTATCTCTGAACGAGCTATTTTGATGCTCAACATAACCTCTAAAAATATCTAAACTCATGATGCCTTCACAAATTCAGGCACCGAATACGGCCAATGTTATTCAAGATGAGATCCATGAATTAGAGAAGCGTCTTCAGGATGCCAAAGCGCGTCTGAACAAAGTCCTGCCTTCGCCACCCGTGTCAACGGCTACAGAGCGTAAGACTCATCTCAACCTATAGATAAGGACCATAACTCACGCCTCATAGCTCATCTCCCCTCGACAACTCATTTTCTACTTCTTCTCTCAGACTCGGCACTTCCATTAGGCTCGTTTGCGTTTAGCAGTGGTCTCGAATCTTATCTTGCTCACGAACCGCGTGCTTCGGCATCGTTTGCCTCCTTTCTTCCTTCATCGCTTTCATCGTTCGCCGCGACAACACTACCCTTTGTCCTAGCTGCGCACCGCAACCCAGAGTCTCTCCCTCAGTTAGATGATCAGCTCGACGCTGCTATCATTTGTACTGTTGGTCGGCGTGCGAGCGTTGCGCAGGGTCGTGCACTACTAGGAATCTGGGAGCGGTCGTTCCGTGCCAGCTGTCCAGATGTTGATGGACAGCCGTTGAGGGAATTTGCAGTGCTGTTAAGACGCGAAAGTCAGAAGGAAGTGCCCCTTGTCTCTGCGCATCTGGCGCCGCTGTTTGGAGCGATATGCGCTCTTGTTGGACTGGGTTTGCGACAGACAGCATATGTTTTCATGCTCAGTCATGTTAAGGCATTGATATCTGCTGCGGTGAGAGCAAGCGTGTTTGGTCCCTATCAGGCGCAAAAGGTATTGGCTGGGCAGCAAGTACAAAGGATGATCGACGATATGATCGATCGAGAGTGGAATACTCCGGTTGACGAGGCTGGGCAAACAGTGCCACATATGGATTTATGGATTGGACGGCATGAGACATTGTACTCTAGAATTTTCAACAGCTGATGTCATATGCTGCTTGTGGTATCATTATTGTAATACAAAATATCTATGCATTTCTAAACATCAATCAAACGCCTTGTCCCTATTCATCATCGCTGTCGCTGTCACTGCCGTATGCCACCAAAGGTCCTGTTGTAGCCGTTGCTTTCGGCTTTGATGCCACCGAGACCTTGGCCTTGTTAAGAGCCGCGAGGGTGCTGCCTGAGAAGATGCCACCAGTCTCTTGTTGAGTTTGAGGCTGTTGCTCCTCAACTTGAGCCGGTGGTTCGCCTGACTCTCCGTTTTCAATCATTGGCCGTTCCTGATATTCCACTTCAAACCCTTCTCGGCCCAGGGGGTTGACTGCCTGAGTACCCCGGGCAAAGTGGATTTCATCGGGCGCTTCGTATCCCTCAAGACCATAGCTGCTTTCGATCTTCCGTCGCTTTCTAGCTTCGGGATCTCGACCTTCAATTTCAGCAACGAATTCTGCAGGAAGGGCTCTTCGAATAGCCTCAGCAGCTTGCTCCTCGATGTTGCGCGCTTCTCGAGCTTGCGCCATAGGGTTGGGATCGGCTGTTGCCCAACGAACATTGAGCACTTCTTCGTGGTCGAGAGACTGATGCGCCATGGCCTCTTTGGCAAATTCGGCATTGGCTTGGTTGACGTATGTGATAAACGCGACACCTCGGGTGTTGAGAACACGAACTGTAATGGTTAGCAACAAGTCAATGGGGATGGTGAAACTGGAACTTACTGCGCTCAACAGGGCCCCATTCTGCAAAGTGTCGCGCCACAATCTCTTCGATATCGTCTGTGACGTGAATTCTTCCAACGTAGACTGTTCTGTTCTGCCTCATAAAACTTCCGACACCACCCATGTCGTCTCGGTAGTCGGAAAACTTGTCGCGTCCAAAGCAGTCGACATTGGGGTTGAAGTGATCGTATGGTCCAGGTAGCCTGTGAAGATATTCACAGTCTTGACCTTTTGGACAAACGCCGCGCGCAAAGCGCAAACAGAAGTAGCTTCCAGGCATAGTGTCGGCCTTGGTATATCCGCTGTCCTTGGCAACATTGCAACGACCCTTCGCTTTGGTCTTCGATAAGTACTTGTCTTCTCGATCACCACCAGACCACTTGTTATACCAAATATTGAAGATTGTGCCGGTCTGAGGAGGGGGTTCTGATGTGACGAAATCGGGATCGACTTGGGCGCGCGCAGGTCGCTTCTTCTTGCGAATGATCTTCTTGACGACTTTCTTTCCAGTTGGTGCTGCAACCTCGGTATTCGTGGTCGCTACCGCCATATCCTGCCCTTCTTGCTCGACGACCGGCGCCGCTTCGATTTGTTCTGCTGTATCGGCCATTGCAACGAATGCGGAAGATGGATCCTGAGAAGTTGTTGTGATGGCAACGCGACAAGCCTGTAGGTGCTGATGATGCAAGGCTATAAAAGTCCATTTCTGGGGAGGAATAAAGTGTCAGAAACGGAAGGCGGTGAGACTGACCTCCCGTACCTGTGGAGCTTGTTCGTTCGAATTCTGCCACGACTTCATCAGGCCCTCTCTCAACCCCCCACTCATGATTTAGATCTTGATCTGGAGCCCAGGATTCGGGTTATTCTTTCTGCTGATTGCCTTTTCCTTATTGAACTGTTTCTAGAGACGCAAAGCCGTCTCAAAGCACCGCCAATATGGTGAACATTACGGAGAAGATCAAGGAGTAAGCTCAGTCTTCAAAACAGTGGCGGGGCACTACTGACATGATATCAGGATTGAGGAGGAGATGAAGAAAACACAAAGTGAGTAAATCTATGATCTTAGAAAACCTGGCGTTATGTCCCTTTTTTGCACAATTGCTGCACTGTGCCCAAAGACGAGACCTAAACAGTTGGCTTCGGGTGAAATTAAAGTAGCGACAAGTTGGTGGAATAGCGCATCATTTCCGGGACTTCACAAGGCTTGCGAATATTAACTAATATCTTTGTAGAGAACAAGGCGACTGGTATGTTGTCATAAAAACAGTATTTGAATGTTGCAATATTAACGACACCCAGAATATCATTTGGGTCTATTAAAAGGGTTGGTTTGGCATGCCATGGCTACAGGACTGTGGACTTAAGAGAGATTTATACTAATTATACTAGAAAACTCGCTCGACTAAGGGCACAGCTTCTAGAGCCTGGTCCTGGAGCTGGCGGCGGTGGTGGTTCAGGTTTCGATGTCAGCAAAAGTGGTGATGCGCGAATTGCTCTTGTTGGTTTCCCATCAGTAGGAAAATCGACGTTCTTATCGAAAGTCACCAAGACGCGGTCCGAAGTTGCTTCTTATGCTTTCACAACCTTGACAGCCATTCCCGGTGTGCTCGAGTATGGCGGTGCTGAGATTCAGCTACTCGATCTTCCCGGTATTATCGAGGGTGCTTCTGAAGGCAAGGGTCGAGGAAGACAAGTTATCTCAGCCGCCAAGACCAGTGACCTTATTCTAATGGTTCTTGACGCTACCAAGAAAGCCGAACAAAGAGCATTGCTCGAGGCTGAATTGGAAGCTGTCGGCATCCGCCTGAACCGAGAACCGCCGTAAGTTCAACTGAGACAAGTTTGAGTTGCTATTAATACGAGACTTTAGCAACATTTACCTCAAGGTCAAGACAGCCGGTGGCATGAAAATCACATTCCAGTCGCCTCCCAAGAACTTGGACGAGAAGATGCTTTACAACATCCTGCGCGACTACAAGATTCTGAATTGTGAGGTTCTTGTTCGTGATGAGAACGCTACAGTCGATGACTTCATTGATGTTATCATGAAGGACCATCGAAAGTACATCAAGTGTCTATACGTCTACAACAAGATTGACAGTGTCTCGCTCGACTTCTTGGATCAGCTAGCACGCGAGGATCATACCGTTGTCATGAGTTGTGAGCTGGACCTGGGTATCCAGGATGTTGTGGACAGATGTTGGAAAGAGCTCAAGCTGATCCGTATCTACACCAAACGCAAGGGTGCCGAACCAGACTTTGGTGAGGCGTTGATTGTGCGCAGTAACAGCACAATCGAGGATGTCTGTGATCGCATTCACAGGACTCTGAAGGACACGTTCAAGTATGCGCTGGTATGGGGTGCTAGTGCAAGACATGTTCCTCAAAGAGTTGGTCTGGCACACCCTGTTGCGGATGAAGATGTAGTGTATATCGTCAGTGCTTGGAAGGCTTAGATGCGTGTGCAAGCTTCTTAAAGCCAAATAAAAAATAAAATAAAAAATCACTACCACACTCGGTTTTATCCGTTCAAGTTTAGAACTCAAAGACATGTTTCATTGTTTGAAAACTGTACATAAACCGGCCACCAGAAAAGAAAGGCAAGCCAAACCCTGTCATCGCATCATAATACCAAGCCAAAGTTTCCGTAGTCTGTAATTATCACCAATACAATGTGTGTATGTGTATGTCAAGTGAACCCCTAACGCCCTTTACCTGACCTCCAGCGGTTTAATAAACACCATTGGCTAGTAGTCGATAGCCAGCAAAAGTAAAAGCAAAAGCCGTATCCATGAAATGTGGACATGTTTTATCCGGAAAGAAGAGGTATTGTTGATCCTCTTATAGCTGGAAACCGGCCTTGGCTGGTGCTGGCTTTGCCCCCAAGGGATTGTCACCCTGGAGTTTCTTAGCGCTCGCTTGGGCGAACAAGGACTTAGGCTTAGCCCTGGCGAAGATGTTAGCTCATTGTTATTGTTAGAGAAGAGAAAGAACGACGAACTTGCTGGCGTGCTTGTTTCGTAGAGCATTGATCTTTGCAGAGCAAGGGCTCATGATGTTGTCTGAAGGCGAGACGTACTTGTTGGCACTGCTTAAAGGTTAGACTGACACTGGGTTGGGGCAGTTCACTATCACTCACGTCTCTTCCTCAGCCATCTTGGACTGGAGGACCTGGCGATGATACTCCATGCTCTTCACGTCTTTGGTAACTGGCTGCTCAATCATGGGAGCGTTGACGTCCTTATCGGCGAGAACCTTGGCTGACATGATGAAAGTGTTGTGAGAAGAAAGTAGACGTGTGAGAGAGTAATGGTCGAGTGTAGACAGAGTAGAAGTTGATTTGTGTTAACGTTCTTTGTTTGTGTATGAAGGAAAACAGTTGAGATGGATGTTGGGTTTCTTTAATGAAAAGATAGAATGCCCTTGTATGAAATAGGTACAGTCCATGCACAAGCAGTAGAGAATTAGCAGGCAAAGTAAACGTTACCCTCTGTTGACGGGGCAACAGGCAATTAAAGAAAAATGCAAGGATATTGGGCAGCAGGGACTCGATGACGTTGATTATTTCCGTGTTTTAGCGGGCGATAGAGGCCTGGAATGGTCCGTTACAGGGGACTCCACTGTGAGAAATGGCACGCTGAGGCCTGTGTTTTACGCTTGCTTGTCGTGAACGACGCACCATCACTGGGGTAATGGAATGGCATGACTTACATGCATGTGTATAGAAAAATCTCTCAGGGATTTAGTTAGATGTTGACTCATTAAGACAAGAAAAGAGGTAATGCATGATATTTCTACGACACCCAATGAAAACTCAAAGACACTGGGACCTTTGAAACAACTTTTTAACTATGTATAGCCCGTTCGTTGTTCTAGGTATAATAGAAGTGCGATATGGCATATCACACTTGAGACTACAAGCGTAATCAGGTGTCACTGTTGACGGAGGATTCTCGGGAAATGTGTGAACTATGCCCTTAATATTGGTGTTATGGATGAAATCAATGCCAATAATTGCCCCAAGAAGCTCTAGGTTCCCTACTTCAGACACCGGCGGGAAGAGAACAGTCTGGATATCCAACCAAAAGTTCATATTCTACGAGCAGATAAGGAATAGCTATGCCGTATTTAACAATAGAATAATTTAGATATTCAACTAACTAGTTATGCGGCCACCCTTCGGCCATTATCAAACAAACAACCAACAACATGCTACCACGCCACTCTGCGCTGTGACAACCAAAACCTACAGCTTAGCATTGTGCTT